GCTCTGGCCCTGACTCCGCACTGCTCCAATTAAACTCGCACTCGCACCGTCACGCCGCGCAGATTCACCCCCCCCCCCAAAAGGAACCAACACGGAACTGCGAGGACGTGCTCTCCCCTCCGCCGGCGTGTGACTGGACGATGGGATCGGTCCTTTCCGCAAGCCCGTGACCGAACTGCAGGCGGGCTGGGGCTCTGCACAGGGGCACCACCACCAAAACAGAGCGAGCTGACGGCTCGGCTGCTCAGCACCACGGGGGCCTCCACTTTCATCAGCCGCAGAAGGACTAACGGCACCGCGGAAGACAGCTGGGGGCGGTGCTATGCCTCACAGCTCTCGGGTCTCGGGTTCGATTCCGGACTGGGGGGGTGCCCACTGGGGAGTCCTGCAGCGCGGCCGTGTGGAATTTCTTACGGTGCCCCCGTTCCCTCCCACCACCCAAAGACAAGCTGCCCTGTGTGTGCAGGTGGGTGACCCCAGCGACAGACGGGTGGTCCACCCAGGCCGTGTCCTGTCCCGTGCCCTGTGCCCGCCAGGCCGCGGACGGGGAAGGAGAGCAGAAGAACAATTCTCCGCTCCGCTCATGCCGGGGATGCTGCTTTCTCAGGAGGCCTCTCCAGCCCGTGTGTGGTACGAGCTGGACACACAGCTTACAGCCGGCTCTGCCTGCGCTGCCCCCTCGCGCAGTCATCCACGCCTCCTGCCGAGCCCCAACAACACGCTCGGGACACGGGAGAGAGATCTCTGTGCCCACCCCTGTGTGGGGAAGATGCACCAAAGCAACACACTGCCTTTTAACGAAGGCGGTGTGGATGTTCCATGCTCCTTTTTAAAAGTGGCGACTGAACGCCTGGGCGTTCGTGCCCCGAGTGCTGACATGTTGGGGTTGGGAAAACGGAGTGGCGCGCGTTCAAGAGATTAAGGGATTGTGCACAGAACGTCCAAGGCAGCTACAGTATAAACGGCTGTGTATATTAAAGAGAAAGAACCCCGAGCAGCCCGCCTCAGCCTGCCGCCTGGTCTAAAAGACAGCTCTCTTTGATTAGACAAGGTCCCTGCTGGCGACATTATTGTAACGCTGGGAGGATGAAATGGCTGAGGACAAGTACAGGCTTACCGCAAATGAGGTGGAAAAAAAATGAAGTTGATGGGATCCTTGTATAAAGATTACTGTCACTAGTCATGTAATCATGTGAATCTTACTTTAGCTAGTGAGACACAAAAGAGTTCTAATGGCTGTCAGTGGGGTATCGCTGTTATCTCACAAGTGCACACAGCTTCTAGCTTGCTCAAACCCAGGGCACAATCCTCTTCAGAGAAGGCCGTCCTCCTGAATAGGTTTAATGTGGCATTCCTCCCACTGCTGGGGAGCTTCTCTCCTCACAAAGCCTGCTTCAATACGCAGATATATTTACATGCGTGTTCCCTTCATGACGCCGTGCTTCTGAACAATGACAGTGCAAGTCATTACAGTGCTATTAAATTACAAAATCAAGGTCCAAAACTTTCAGTCCTGCAAACATCCACCCCACACTCCCCACCCTGCCTAAATTTCCTCCCTCTACTTCACCTGCGATGCCAGAGCTTTTCTCTTTTTTAAAACCACAGTCGGCGAAGAAATGGCTGACGAAGATGGAAAGTAGCAGCAATTTACCACTGAAGTTTATGACTTCACCTGAAATTTCTGCAAATTGGAAAATGCAAAACAGCCTCCCAGAGAACTGGTCCCTGCTTGACTACTTTAAGGAACGAAAAGCATTCCAGGTAAATAAACACGTCAATGTCTTCAGAAACTGCCCCAAAACGATTTAGGCTAAAATGACACGAAGCTCGCACTGCTGGTACTTACACCCTCACTGGATTTGAGGCTTTGTGGTCGGAAAACCAAAAATGCTTATAAAAGCGATAGGAGTTGGCTCTGTAATTTCACAAGACAAATCTTCTGAAACAATCGAAGCACCAAGTGAGCCCTGACTATAAGGCAAGGAATTATTCTAATACATAATATGTAGCATTATGTAGTTTAGCAGACGCAAATCACAGGCTATTCAGTTGCACATGTGGGACAAAATAACGTAGCCTGTTGGATTAACGAGCAGATTCAAACTTAAGGGTGTATTTTGTAGCAATAGGAACAGCTCCTTAGGTTGCAAATCTCTATTAATCTGAAACGGCTGATCCCCTGGAAATGGGGATGGAAGAAAATTTGGTTCCTCAGGTTGCTGTTGCTACAACCTCTGCCTGCCTGACCGTGACAGGCAACAGAAAGCCACCAGACAAATGGCCGGACCCTCTCATCTCGGGTGCTGTGCTTACAGGAGGGCTGACCTTGCACCTGGCACCAGTACGAGAGAGGCTCAACCGCCAGTGAGGCCACACCTGCTCCTGAGGAGTGCCCACGTACCGGCAGCACCTGGCAAGCGAAGAAATTAAGAACCAAGACTGGAAGAAAAACTCCTGCCAGCTCACAGACACCGGACGGGGCAGACCAATCGGAGAACAGCTCAAGAGCAGAACCGCCTTATTATTTAATTCAAAAGTGTAACAAGAAATATTAGCCCCCGCACAACAGACAACAGTACTGAAAGCACTAGGTTTGTTAGGGAAACACCGTGAAACTTCTGACATCTGCAGAGAAAGCCAGACAACTGTGCGATTTCCTCCGTAGGTCCTCGACTTATTTACCCACCCCACGTCACGAACGCGCACCGGCTGATGATCAAGTTTATCGGCGGTCCTTTGCGTCAGCCCCCCCCTTCCCAGGAAGCCATTGTGAGAGGTCCTTTTAATCAAGTGACATCAATCACAAAAACCGGTCGGGAATCAGAAAGGCTCGAGCGCCCCAGCCAAGATGAAAATTCTAGACTGAGAACCTGTTTAAGCTGCGTTAACATGATCAGTGAAATATATGCTCCATTTCCCATTATTTATGAAGGGCTATCCTTTTTCTTTCTCGCCAATTACACTCCCTATCATTTCCAAAATCTACAAACTGTTTTCAATCAACACATTTCGTTATTACAGAGTGCAGCCTGCTCGCTCCAGCCTCTCCTGCTCACTAGAGTCTTGATTGGGCCACCGCTTTGCATTTAACATGGGCCCTGATTGCAAGGATCACGCAAATTAGGGCTGCCGGTATCATCCTGGAGGAGAACACCCTTCAACCACAACACTGCCATTCAGCGCTCCACCGTGAGAGGAAGGAGACACCGGTCCGCGATGACAGCGCCCTGGCTATTAAAGCAGAGCAGACATGCCTCCACACAACAGAACAGGGGGGAAAAAACAGCTGAAGCAGCCTAATGAAAGAGTGAACTGGAACAGCAAGGTGAAGTGGAACATTACAGAACACGCGTCCTGTGGGAAGGACGCAGGTGATTGTTGTTTGCAAATGGCCAAGTACCTCCACTTCCTTCATACAAGTGAGCAGCTGTTGGAAACATTAGAATTGTGTGTATCCATATCAATGCACTTATCCAACTCGTTTACGCAGCTCCAGAAACTTGCTTTTCTCCCCTAGCAAGTAAAAATCACCACCTTTTAAAACATTCGCCAAAAACGAATGGAGGTATCAAGCCAATGTGCTCCTGGGGATCGCATGTCTGATGAGGGTCCTGACGGGCAACTCAAGGTGAACACTGTCTCCAAGTGAGGTGTGTGCGTGAGTGCATGTGAGCACGTGTCGAGATGGGGGGGGCATCTGAGTGTGTGTGTGCGCATGTGCGTGTCGAGACTGGGGGGGGGGGGGGGGGGGTGCGCGTGCGTGTCGAGGGTGGGGGGGGGTGTCTGACCTGCGATTCTTCCTTCTTGTTAAGACAGCACACCGAAGGCTGGTGTGTGGGGCTGCAAATCTGGTGCAAACTCAGTTTCCTGAGGACACTTCATTACAATCTGCTACGGTCTCCATCACGGGCCTACTTCAACTCTCGCGAAACGTTTCCTGAAGAGGACATCCCTGCACCGGAAAGGGCTGTGCAGCACTGACAAACAGGCATCTGAAGAGCATCCAGGAACAGCACACAGCAGAATCAGATCCCTGTAAACTTCACTCCAATTACAAATGACCTTTGGAGCTGCACAAGGCACAGGCACAATCGTGCATTTAAAACCGCTTTCCTCTAATGTGCGAGCGTGTGAAATCAAATGAGGCTTGCAATGCAATCAGTGTGGTTGGCTGCTTTAATGTATGCCATTTCGATCTGAAATCACTGCAGACACAGAGTGACGAAGCTAATTTGATCAGCCTCTGACTAAAACACTGACAGGGCCGCACACAGAACCGGCACCAGCTGGGAAAATGGCCAGTTCTGACATAAGAGCTGGGCACGCAGTCATTTAAAGAAGGAATATGTAAACCTATATATAACGTTTCTGCTTCCGGCAGCCACTCTCGCACAGTAAAGGGAAAACGTCAAATCGGCTCTCTGAAGGATGTTCCGGGCTCAGTGCAGCTGACTGGCTTTGAACATAAGGCCACAGGAAAGGTTACAAACGAGAGGAGGCCCTCTGGCCTGTTTCGTAGTTGGCAGTCAATCTCATCCAGCAGCTTCGTAGGAAAAGAAAACAAGACATCGACTTCAACAATATGTTTAGGTAGTCTGTTCAACACCCCACCCCTCCCCAACCTTTGCCTAAAGAAGAACTTCTTGTCCTCCGTTTTTTTTAACACAGCTGCACATCCTGTGGTGCCCACTCGTGCCCTCTTGTTCGTGATCAGGGTGAGGAGGTCCACACACCCAACACCTTCCAACATGACTCCACCTCAGACTTCAGGCCTGTCAGACCTGCTAAAAACAGCTTCACTGCTCACAACTGCTCTTTCACTCTCGTACTCCAGACCCCAGGGGAAACACGGAAGGCTGATGGGATGTGTAATACGTTATCGTTTTTTTCCCCGAGGAAGGTTTTTCAGGGTAGGAGAAAAACCAGCCCATCACTGCACAAAGGTGGCAGCGCGTGCAGCTCAGGGCGTTAAGGTCCTGCTGAGACGACAGCCATACCTCTCTCTTCGCTCTGGAGACACTTGGCATAGGCGTAGTCCCAGTCGAAAATGTACCGATAGAAGCACAGCTGGTTGTACAGGGCTTTTTCCGAATACTGTATAAAACAAACAAAATTTCATTAGTTTGTTTTGTAGCACATTTCTTCAACTCACCCATGCAATGGTAAAGTAAAAAAAATTCAGAGGCAGGGCTATAAGTGATTAAAAAACTGCCAATCACACAGCCTTGTCCCATGCATGCTGTGTTTCAGCTCATTGATAATTAAGGCCAGCTGTTAACATTGGTCCATTTTCAAATTCCTGCCACAGGATCCACACAAAACACAAACGTTACCTACAGATCACCTCTGCTCTTTCTTGTCTAAAACATGCGCCTATGTTTCATCCCATCTCACATGCTGTTTTTTCTGTTCCGCCTTTCTTCATGCACAGATCACTATACATCACAGTGCCGCGAAAAACGCCCACACGCTGCCAACAGCCTGATGCTAGGCAGCAATA